AGAATCAGGAGCTCCAATGGTACAAGTCCCAGTCAGAGTGCAAGACACAACCAGTATTCCTGCTCGAGCAGTCAGGCGAGGGGGTGAGGGGGAGAGAGAGAGGTGGGGGCACAGGGCTGAGAGAGGCAGAGAAAGAACAGAAAGAAGGACAGACAGACAGAGGGGGAGTTGACTGGTGAACATTAGGAAAAAGTCATTCCCAAAGACTTTGGGAACTAAAAGTTAACATATCTTTATTTTTAAAGTATGTACTTATATGTTTTAGCTCTCCCTTACTCCATGCAACTCATAAGCTGTAATACAATGACTTTTTATATTGCTTTAGAAACAGAAAATATCTTTCTCATTAATGATGGTGCCTTCATCAGTGTGGTTTTACCATATTAAACAAAGCATTGTTCATATTATCATATTTCAAATAAGAACATAGCCTATTTATCTATTTACATAATTAAAGACTCAAGTGAAAACTATACTTACTAAATATTTTCTTGTTAATAACTAAAATATTCAAGAGCTATACATTAAAAGTTAAATTGCAGTGTCATAAATGGGATTAGTTTTTGATTCCTACTGACTGACTTTGCTGCAATTCAGTGTGTAAATCATGTCTAGTGTGCTTTTTAAGTGCAAGGTACACACATATTTAAAAACACAATTGAAATGGTATTATATGGGAACTGTCCATTTATTTAGTTGCTATTAATCACATAATCTTTCCCCAAATTTTTTACTTTGTAATTTAGAAAGCATAGTTCATCCAATACTGCCAGAAATCAGCCAAGGACCACCCATGTCTTTTGTCATAATGTGCCATTCACTTATAAATTCATCTTTCCTGTGAAAATTTATATTAAAAAAAAATAAACACTCCACATGCATATGTATTTTACATACATCATACATGGACCAAAAAAATGGGAAGAGCTGTGCCAAATAAAATTAAACATGTGTCTTTGATATAGGGTACTTCAAAGGATTTTGAGTGTACAGGGCATCAAGTAAGCACAATTTCCAATTTGGAAGCAGACTTTTTTTTTTTCTTTGACCAACAAGGCACTAGTATTCCCTTGGAACTTTCTAACTAGGACCTTCCATTAATCTCTTTTTCATAACTTTATCCAGTAGCAAACCCTACAGTAGCTCACTAGCAACATGGTTAGACCTTATTTTTTACAACAGTTATAAATTCCAATAATAAAATTTCAATGTATGTGCCATTAACCTTGGTACTTGCAAGAAAAGTTCCTTCAAGACTCAATTGTGAAGTTGAAATAAAGGACACTCTTTTTACATTGGCCAGGAAACTCAGCATTTGATTATGAAATCATGCAACTATTAAATAACAACTATCAAACAAGCATGCTTTTTGCTCATTAAACATACTATCCCTGTACTTGAAATTTGATTTCTAGCAATTTGTTGTTAATTAGGTCTGTGGGTGTTCCAGGCTGCTCTCCTATTTCACTTTATGATTCCTGACTTTGAACTGAATACGTCCCTTGGCAGCATAGAAAGAGACAAGTAAACAGTTGAGGAAATCGTGGCTTATGCATCTGAAAAAGCACACGCTGGCCCAATTACACTTCTGTGTTTGGGGGGTACAATACCTGGACATCTATAGAGCTTTCTTGCCTGTGCAATATCTCCTTTGCTTAAACGGGTTCGCTGACCAATAGCCGGACGTATGCCATTATCGTCCCGAGAGGGGAGAATGGTATCCAGGAACATCCCCCTGAAAAAAATCAGAAACAAGCCACATATAAGTCACCAAATTCAGACAAATAAATCCCTTACAAGGGTAAGGTTATTTTTTTTCAAACTCAAGTCAATCAAAGGGAAAAATGCATCCGTGTTGAGCTTAAACAGTATGCCAGACTTTCATCAAAGGAGAAAAAAAACTGGGTGTTAATACGTATGCCTAGCATAAAGGCAATGATGACATTCACTTTTTCCTTAGGCAGCGGTTCTCAACCTTCCTAATGCAGTGACCCCTTAATACACTTCCTCATGTTGTGGTGACCCCCAACCATAAAATTATTTTCGTTGCTACTCTATAACTGTAATTTTGCTACTGTTATGAATCGTAATGTAAATATCTTTTTGTTTTCCGATGGTCTTAGGCGACCCCTGTGAAAGGGTCGTTCGACCCCCAAAGGGGTCACGACACACAGGTTGAGAACCGCTGCCTTAGACATTGACATTATGATTTTTAAAATTGAGAATTCTATAATAGTCCCTTACCAAGTACCCCATGGCTTTTTTTTTGGGCTCTCAGGCAGATCTAAGAACCACTTAGAGTTTCTCAAGTTGTAAAATAATTCTTCCTCATAGAGATATACTTTCTTTAGGACAACCTACAATAATATTTTTGAGGGTATTAAAAATGCAAAATTCAAATTAAATATATATGTGTGTATATATATGGTAGCTTTTTTAGTTAAACTACTAATTTAACCTCAGTATTCTTCTAAAAAATACTTCTTCCAAGTATTACAGTATATGTTAAAAGAACAAGGAAAAACAGAGAATGTCAAATTTTAACAGGGCAGTTTAAAACAAAATGGTTTTGTGACACACACACACATACACATATATGCAAACACACACACACACACACACACAGCATACAATTTTCATGTTATATAGTATATAGTATAAAATTAATAAGCAAAATAAACTAAGCAATGCCCTAATAATGCTAAGGTACACATACCAAGTTGTTTTGCATCCAAGGTTGTAATAGAAACTCACTGTTTTTCTTAATATGCATGACTAAAAATTCTGAATATCATGCACTAAAGATATAGTCTACTTTTGCAATGAATATCAACTTCTATGGCTCTAAAGGAAGTACTGCATTTAAAAATTAAATGGATTGAGACACTATTCTAAGTGGTGAAAAGGATGGAGTGTGCATATGAGGATTAAAAAAAAAAAGAAACTCTCTATAAAAGCATTTTAAATTAAGAAATACAATTGTAAGAAAAATCTTTTAAATTGGGATGAATGATGGGACACTTCTTTCCAAGATTTATAAATAAATAAATAGTGTTCAAACTGCCGGTTAAAAGAACAACATTTTTTGGCTCTACTAATGCCTCCCTTTAGGAAATATTTACTAAACACTGTTACAGGTCTCGATTTATAGTGATAAATAAAAGACACAAAAATTCCTCCCCTTATGATTCTCACATTCTGATGGGGGAGAAAGACATTAAACAAAAGATTGGTAACTGAGATAGTGACAGGTACTGTAGAGGAAAATAAAGAAGATGGATATTGACTGTCCAGTGATGGGGTGACTTTTAAATAGAGTGATCAAACTCACTTTAAGTTGACATTTAGGCCAAACATGAAGGAAATAAAGGCAGGGCAATGTGAGTAACTGGGAATAGAGAGTTTCAGAGAGAAACAAGAAATAAAACAACCTAGAGATGGGAAACCCCTAAAGTGTTGGAGTGTCAGAGAATTTAACTTTTAGCCTCAGGAAAACTGATAATATCTGCAAGATGATAAACAGAAGAGTGACAGGATCTGAGTAATTTATGACTAACCTTCCTGGTTTCTTGATAAATGTAATAATCTTTGGCTAAAACCTGCATAACTCAAACAGAGAATGGCACCCTTTAAGACCAAAGCTAAGTGTCTACAGAACTCCATATATGTACTACCTGAGATGCAGGGAGGAAGGGGGAACTAAGGATTTATGGAAATCAACTATCAAAAGTGAGAGCTTGTACATACTTCATAAGATGCAACTCCAGCTAGGCCAGTGTAACACTGAGAAAAGTTATTCTTCAACTATGCTGCATGAATTAACAGATTATTAAGTAGGTGAGTCCAAATTAATGAAGTGTTACAATTTCCATCGTATTCAGTACTAATAAAATATTCACTATTCTCTATTTCTAAAAACAGATTAGTCTAAAAAGTTTTGTTTTTTCCTGTTTTCAAAAGAAATTAAATTTTAAAAGGTCAAGGACATCTTAAAGTGTACCTATTCAAACTCAGACAATAGAATAATGAATTTTGACTTAGTCTGTCTACTGAGGTAAACTCCCTTTCATTCAGAAGGGATCAGTCTCCCATTCTTTAGTTCTTTCTCTGTGGTCAGGAAGTTAACAGTTCTCTCCCTTGACATCCAGGCCATTAAGTAATGCAGCTTCTTCCTGAATACCCTCAGGGAGGCACTCTCAATGGGCCAGAGACAGATCACAGAGGGCTCCTATTACTAACCTTCATTTGTTTTGCCTACATGAGAAGAGTGAATGAGCTATGTTTTTTGAAGCAACTTCATAAAATTTTGTATTTCTTTTACTAATGGAAAATGGGCCCGTTCCAGGTCTCAAGCATCTACATTACACATTACACATGCATATAAAGGTCCCATATATCTAGCTCTATTCTTCCCACCAGTAAGTACCTAAATCTGCCAATGGGCTATATTCATGAAAACAACTAAAACTTTTATAGACCCTGTAGGTCTAGAAGAGAAGAAACTATAAAAATTCAAATATTTATATTAACAAAACAAAGGACAAAAAACACATGTTTATCTAATGGATTCAGAAAGAGCATTTGAAAAATTCAATACCATTTCATGATTAAAACACTCAACAAAATAGGAATACAAGGAAACTACCTCAACATAATAAAGACCATATATAAAAAGCCTACAGTTAACATCGTATTTAATGGTGAAAAACTGTAAGCTTTTCATCTAAGATCAGGAACAAGGCAAGACTGCTTGCTCTCATCACTTCTATTCAACACAGAACTGTAAGTCCTAGCCAGAGCAATTAGGCAAGAAAAAGAAGTAAAAAGCATCCAAATTGGAAAGAAAGAAGTAAAATTATCTCTGTTTACAGATCACATGATTTTATCATATAATATGGAGAAAACTCTACAGTCCACACACACAAAAAGCTATCAGACCTAGTGACACACTACTCAAAATGATCTACAGATTAATCACAATCCCTATCAAAATCCTAATAGCATTTATTGCTGAAATAGACAAAAAAAAAAAAGTCCTAAAATATATATGGAATCTCATTGGACCTTAAATAGACAAAATTTTTTTTCTGAAAAATGGATAAACAAAAGGTGGTACATGCATATAATGAAACGTTATTTAGCCTGAAAAAGGAAGAAAAGCCTGTCACATGCTACTACATGGATGCGCCTTGAGGACACTGTGCTAAGTGAAATAAACCAGTCACAAAAAGACAAATACTGGATGATTCCACTTAATGAGGTGTCTAAGTAGCCACATTCACAGAAATAGAAAGCGGAATAATGGTTACCAGGGACTGTGGGGAGGAGAAATGAGGTGTTGTTTTTTAATAGGCACAGGGTTTCAGTTGTGCAAGATGAAGAAGTTCTGGACATCTGCTTCACAACAATGTGATTGTGCTTAACACTACTGAATTGTACACGTAAAAATGAATAAAATGGTCAAATTTTTGTGTGTTTTTATGAGAGAGAGACAGAGAGCGAGAGCGAGAGCGAGAGCGAGAGCGAGAGAGAGAGAGAGAGAGAGAGAGAGAGAGAGAGAGAAACTTCAATTACTTTGGAGGTGGTGACTGAGGCCTTTGTCAAATATTTCATCTCCTGAAATGCAGTGATTGAAATCTATGTATGAGTTAATAAACATCCAATTAACATCCTCTTTAAAGACCAAAACAATAAAATAATGTTAATTGGATCAATTCTTCTGACAGGTAGATATGGCTCCTTTCACTATAGAGATACAAGTCTATTAGAAAAACTAAATAGGATAATTTTAAAACAATTAATAGGTCAAATTTGCTTGGCAAATCTGGTGTTGGTGGGGAATTGGGTAGTGGACTACAGGCTCCACGAGCAGAATGGTTGATGAAAAAGAAGCCATTTAAACAAGTAAAAGGAATACAAATGAGGAGAAATATATATATTTTAAACTTTGGTATAGATTCATCATCTATCAAGGATAGAAAAAATAAATTATTTTTGTCCACTTTTCAGCACCTCCTGTGTTCCAAAAATCAAAACTCTGTTTTGTTTTAAATAATATACTTCAGCAGCATACAAGACGCACCGTGCTGAACTGGGACCCAAATCCCTAGTTGTTCCATTCTTCTATGAAATACTCGATTCCAACCATTGACCTAAAAATAAAGTTTTATAACCCTTTAAGAGTAATTTCAGGCCAAATTTATGGGTATATTTCTATCAACACCTAAATTCAATTCCAGAAACAATAGGTATTTGGATACTTATTCTATCTGAACACATACAGAGGGCACAAAAAAATGTATACACATTTTAAGAAAGGAAAACTGTATTAAAATTGTAATAATATATACCGATAACAAAGGAAAAATACAAGTCACATTTGACTTCTGCAGTTACAAGAAGTGCTCAAAGTGTTACCATCAGTGTCCAGGCACTTCTGATTACGGCAAACTACTGCTTGAGCAACGTTGACCAAAGTGTCCCCTTGTATACACTTTTTGGCACCCCCGGTATATGTATGTGTGTGTGTGCATATGTGTGTATACACACACACACACACACACACACACACACACACTTGTATATATGTATATGTATATATGTGTGTATATATACTTCAGAAAGAGTAATTAAAATTTAATATTTAATATTTAATAATAAAATTAGGCCTTTTCAAAAAGCATAATTTAAAAATGTATCCAAGCATTAAGAATTCACTTATACATCCTTCTTTACTTTTTACCAAGGATTGTTTAAAAAAAAAAAAGGGGGGGGGTTAATTTGATTATTTTTATCTTCTTCCTGACCCTGCATTTAGAAGCACATGTTAATAGATTGTGAAATGGACATAAGTGGGCCAAAACAATGACTTGGAATGGACATACAAGTGTAAAATGGGCATAAAATAAGAAAAAGGGGTGACTTCAGTGTTTAACAGTTCCAAATTCCTTACCTGGGAACTATTTGCTTGACGGCATCATCTTTTGAAAGTAATCAAAACCCAAATTTATTGAATTTTTTAAATATAGCATTCAATCATTAATAAAATAATTTTAAGGTTGAGAAATGATGAAATTCTAAATTATAGAAAGTAAAGTATCTTCCTAACATGATCTTTAAGAACTAAATCAATAATAGCAATTTTTTAATATAACTAGTACTTGAGCAACACACAGTGGAAAACTCAAGTCATACAGAGAATGCAACATTCCAACTCAACAACCGAGTATGTACCCTATTTGACTTCTGAATGCCTAATTTTCATTAAATAATGATTTGCCAATTTAACATGCTGATTTGATCATTTTAATTGATTTTTTTATGATTTAGTAATATGACAGTTTAAATATTTCATATCATTTTAATGTTTACTTTGAATTTATGTATTTGATAGGAAATGTGAAAATACATGCTTTCTAAATCTCAAATGCCTGGTGTTGACTATAAATGTCAATCAAGTATTTTTGTAGTTTATGCCGCAATATTTGAAAATGGTGCTAGTTCTAATGTTAGAAATAGATTTGTGGGGAGCCACACAGAGGAAAAGAATTAAAAGTCAAAAGGTATAACCTGAGACTCCAACCTTGAGAAGGTGTTCCTGGCATAGTGCATGATACTGTCAAAATCATATCCTTCTCCCAGTGAGTTCACTTCTCCAGGCTCCATCTTCAGAAAATTGTACTCTTGACCTAAGAATCGGACACGAATAACATTTCAGAAGCCTTCTAATAGACAGAGAAAAGAATAGGAGAGCTTGCCATAGGCCTGCATCTTCACTTTACGAAATGGCTAATTCCATGCAAGTTGTACTTACATACCAACACCCTCATTATGCAAAAGTATCCATCTATTGCCACTGTGTTCTCTTAGTATCACATTAAAAGGGTAATACTGAATTTCATTAAAAAGTTAATTTCTGCAAAGGGTGGATTACCAAAAGCATACTCTGGGTTTCTTTTCTATCTATACTCTTTTACATTCTCATGTTTGTTTCTTTAAAATCTTGTGCTTTTTTTTAGTACCATAGGAATGATTAGAAAAAGTTACATTTTTTAATTTCCCACCTTTCTCTTATGACTACATTTGCCAAAACTGACAAAAACCGTCTTCTTATTTGCTTCATATTCTTTCTATAAAACACTGAGAAAAATATTTTTTAAATATTGGTATGTACATACAGCATGTCAGATTATAGCTATGTGACTTTGTCACTAAAGGTAAAACAACAGCAGCAAATTTCATTCAAAACTGAAACAAGAGTCTCTTTGATGAATCCACTCCAAGTTCTACTCGGAGAGCATTTTGATCAAAAATATGCTTTAGGGGCTGGCCGAGTGGCGCGATGGTTAAGAACTGGCTTGGGACGCCAGAGGGCCCCAGTTCGGATCCCACATATGAGGGCCAGTGACACTGCCCTCTACAGCCAAGATGCTGAACAACAGCTCAACCTGGAGCTGGGTTGCCGTGGGTCGCCTGCGACGGTGTAGGCTGCAGCCCCTGCTGCAGTGGGTTGCCATGGGCTACCGTGTGTAGCCAGCAGCCAGCGTGAGCGGCCAGCAGCCGCAGTGAGCGGCTGTCCAGAAGCCGGCGACTGATCTGCCTCGCCCGGGAAGAGCGCAATGATGGTGCCAACTTGGGCCAGTGAAGCAACGTCCTCCACAACTAGACTGAAGAACAAAACGACAGCAACTTGTCTGTTCCCCTTCCCCCAATTCCCCACCGCTGTTCCCATCCCCCCAATTCCCCAATAAAAATCTTTAAAAAAAAATATGCTTTAGAACAATAAGCCTCCTCTTGAAGGCATATTCTAAAATGGATTAAAGTAATCCAATCCTTATGCCACTTTGGCTCCTATCATAGTCACTAATTTTGCATATAAATGCAAAGCTAAATTCTGTACTTATTAGACATTACCCTTGAACAACACTTGATCTTAAGTCTCTGAGCCAGGGCAAGTCATAAATTTGTTGAAAATTAATCTCCAATATGAATTCTTTCATACTGGAACTCTGCTGCTATAGTAGTTCTGAATACTCAGGAAATCTCAATCAATAAATTATTTTTTTTCTATTGGCATGAATGTTGAGTCAACAAATGTATGAATGCCATGATTTGCTTAGCATTATGTTATGCATCTTACATTTTATATGCTATTTATAAATGTCTTGTTTGTTTTAGGTACATATTTATGTTGAACCAGAGTCCTAATTTTTTTTTTTTTTTAGCTGAGCCTCTTGCCACCTGTTGGCAGCTGTTGGCAGCTCAGCTTGGGCTGGGAATCGAACTGGTGACCCTGTTGCTCAGAGCTCACACTCTTGAGCAAGCTCTTAACTAACTGAGCCACTAGGCCAACCCTGAGATCTATTTTGGGAGTATGCATCATCTTTACTTCTCTTTCATATTCAACACTACAGTTTATTTCATCATCCTTGAAATGATCTATTCTCAAAGATGTCACAAACGTTAATTTGCTACCTCTTAGACCAAATCTTCTTAGACTTTTGGAGGCTTTTCTACAAAATGTTGCTTTAAATATTGGCATTCCACATTTTCTATACTCAATCTGATTTTCTTCTCCTTCCTTACACAAATTCACAATCAACTTTCTATCCTAAAGTTTAGACTCACCTTTCCTTTGTCTACTAAGCATCTCAACTTGGATCATCCAAAAGCTTCCCAAAATCAAGGAAATGCTAAATGAAACCATTATTTGTCTTTCTCCCTCTCAAAAACATGTTGCTTTGTCCATATTTTTTTACTTCATTTGATGGTGCCACCATTCATCTAGTTGCCTAAAAATAAAACCTTGAGGATTTCCCCTCACATAATAATGTTCCTCTTAAAATGTTTTTGAAAGACAATTCCCTCTTATTCCTTTTAACTGTGCTACATTAACTGGAAACTTAGTCATCTCACAAATTATTTAAGTTTCTAGTAGGTTTCCCTGACTCAGGTTCATCCTCCCCATTCCCACGTCCTCATTCTCAGTTCATAAGCCTCAAAATGAAAGAATTATTTTTTTCTTTTTTAATCTGAACTCGCTCTGCTTTCAATCCTTTAAATACTCCTCAGTAGCTAAAGTATAAAACCTAAATTCCCTAGCTTCATGTACAAGATCCTCTATGATCTAATCTCCCTTGGTCATTACCAACGAATTTCCCACTTGTAACTTACCATGCAGCTACAATGGGCAAATAAAAATGATTCCATTTTCTGTGTCACTTTGATCATGAATTTTCTTCTTCAGGTTAGAAATTCCATCACTCTTCTATGCACTCAGAACACTTCTACTTACTTCTAAATCTCTGCTCCTTTGTGACATCTCCCTTCACTCTCCCAGGTACATTTTGTCACATCTTGTTTGGACTCTATGATATTCTCAATATATGGCCACTGGTACTTTTCTCACTCACTGGCAATCATTTGTATATATGTACACACTCCACACTAAGCTGTGTTTTTCATGACAGTATTTCTAACATCTAATAGTGTGATGGGAAATAGATCATACTGTTAATTACAGGAAATTCTAAAGAATTCAATGGTTGTAGCTTGAAGCTGGCCATGAATAAGTAAACAAACACATATTTTTACTTTGCTTATACTTGAAATACATTCTACCTTATAAGACAATATCAACCAATAAGATTTTTCTTTTGGCAGTTGAAATGCACTAATTTATGAATTTGTGAATGTTAGAACAAATAAAAAGCTTTACAACATGACTATTATCACACATCAACTGTCAGAGAAAATTAAACTTTAATTACATATTATATTTTAACGGCTAAAAACATTCTTAGGTATTTGTCTTTAGGGTAGTCAGGTTTAAGAGAAATATCAAAGAAACTATTTAGACTATCTTAGAAATGACTCATTTCCATGGAATTTTTTCCAGAAATCATTCCTGGTATAATATAGATTCCTATGGTAGCAGCACTCTTCATGGCAAACCCTGGACTCTTTCTAAATCCCTACAACATAAAGGACAAAGTATAGAAAATACTTTTAAAAAATAAATATTTAATAATATTAATTTATGGCTCAATGGCCTATACTCATTCTTAGAAAAACATAGAAGTTTAAAAATAAAACAGGTAAATCTTAAGAAAGCCAACAAAAAAAATAAACAAAAAAACATACAATCATTATAGCTGAAAATAAAATTAAAAATATAACACCATCGTTGGTATTTTTTAATCAAGCAAAATTTTGATTGTACCATATCAAAAAAATCAATTCTCATTTTTTAAGAACTTAAATGATAAATAGTATAAACACAACTAAAAGATATATTGAGTCAACCTTAAACCCAATACGTTCTGCAGCCCCTCACCTGGCTGGATGTTTTCTCTTATGATGGTTACATGGTTATCTCTATCTGGTCGTGTGTGTTCATGCCAAAAGCCTATCACATGCCCCAACTCATGAACTACAATTCCAAATTTATCACAGTTCTTGCCAATAGAGATCGCCTGAGGTCCATTTCCCCGCCGACCTACGTAAGAGCAGCACCTGGAATAAAGTAGAAAGAGGAGATGGCGGTGGAAAGGGGGATGCTGGATGAATTATAATATGGAGAAACCTTTGTAAAGAATTGTGATGAACTAAAGTCCAGCATATTCAGAGGCAGGACAGCCTTTCATTAACAAATATGGCTAATTTCTAGTATCCTAGTAAATTTATATATAACAAAAGTCTCTAAACAATCACTTGAAGTGCTCTTGTACTAACTCATATATTAGAAGTTATGCCCTAGATCATTTTTAGGAGCTGAAGATAAATTAGAAAATAAAATACTTAACGATGATGATTAATGTGCTATTATACATATACTTAAACTCAAAACTTATCAACTCACATTTATTTCTAATCTAAATTTTTGTCCTCACAATATATCTAGATTATTATATTACTTTGTCAATATGATTACCTGGCAGTAATCCATTATTTCAGTATTAAATATAAAAACAAAGTGTATTTTTTCTCTTTAAGTAAAATAGAAATAAATTTATTTATGAAAGATGTTGGTTAATTAAAAAAAATACTTTTCCTACTCAAGGGAGAATTCTTTTTTTAAGACATAAATTGAGGAAAATTAGTTTCGAAAGGTAAAGTATCTAAGGTTAATGGTTAATTGGTGAAGAAAAACTGCCAACTGGTAGAATTATGAGATTTATGAGATCATGTCAAATGGTCAGGCTGATAGTTAAGTGTGACATTCTATTTCATCTTCTGTAAAAAATCTTCTGGACTTTCAGAATGTGAAATATCCAGAGTATCTTTCTACAAATTTTCCTCCATTTATTGATATTATACATATTCAATGATGTTTTTATACTCAAAATATAGAAGTTCCATTTATTCATTTTGTGTGTGTGCCTATGTGTGCACACATGCGTATGTGTGACAGTGCATCAGAGTGCACACACATGTGCAAGGGATATCACTTTAAGTTTTAAATGGTATAACATAGTAACTATGATTGCATTCATAAATAAAATTATATCTAAAACTTTGATAATTAGGATCTACATTAAAACAGTTTATCCACAGGACCACCTTTCTAGAGAGCAATAGAGGACAGTAAATAACGGGTCTTGCATATTTGGAAATCATGATACACCAGACACCAAATACCTCTTTTAATTAAAAGAGAAAATTGCCAAAAATTAACTGCCCAAATGATTAAAAGGAATTTCACTAACTTCAAGTTCTACAGTAAGTACATTTGATAGTCCTTTTGATTGTTCACCAATACAAACATTGGCCATTCTGTTTCTGTAAGCTTTTAAATGCCTAAGCATTTTAACCTGTACCATGGTAGTTAAATGAACTAATTTGACTTATTATTTATGAATCTGTTATAATAGTGAAGTAAATAAATCAATAACAGAAAGAAAGGAGAAGTAACTGATAGGGAAAAAAATCAGGGAATTGTGTTTTTGCCCCCAGGTAGTTTTTTTCTTTGTTTGTTAATAGTATCTTGTAATTAATCCATACATAGATAATTACTTATTACATACCCAGCAGTAAAGTATTAGAAGTAGAAAAATACAAAATTTGCACATTTTGGAGAGATTTCAACTGAAACATTTGCTATCAGGTAGCAACAGTAACAAAACTGAAATACCTGATGACTATATAGTAACTAATTACCCACACTGCGTCATTCTTGCTGGTTATAGTCAGTGAAGAAAGTACTTTGCAAATCAAATTCCAGGAGAGAGAGAGTCAAGCAATGTTGGTCAATTTATTTAATCTAAAACAACTTTTTAGCATAATTTCACCCATAGCATTTTTCAATAAATAAGATGGGACCACATAATGAAAAGCAAGCATACATTTCACACTGACTTTTACAAATGGTCCTGTGAAAGTAAAGAAAATTCAGTAGTTCGATCCCTGAAATACTAGTTATTATCATGGCGCAACTTCCGCCAGCTGACTAATACAGGCTTTTTCTTTAACTCAGAGGAAAATCTAAAGTGCTTTAAAACCTCTAAGATCCTACATGATCGCCACATACAAATGCCTTACCATACAGATCTCATCTCTTACTACCGCCCCTGTCGCTCACTCTACTCCGGTCATGGGCCCTCGCTGTGCATTGAGCAGGCAGCCATGTTCTTGCTCAGCCTTTTTACCACCTGTTCCTTCTGTCAGGATCTCTTTTCTCCCAGCTACCCATATGTCTCATTTCCTGATCTTGAAAGAAGTCTTCACACAAATGCTCTTCTATCGCACTTACATTGCTTTGCTTCATGTCCTAGAATGTGTGCTCTATTAGTACATTTTACATTGCATGTATTTTCATGGTGTTTTCTGCCTCTCCATCCCACAATGTAAGCTCTTGGTGGCCAGACAACTTAATTGCTTTGTTCACTGCTGCATCTCTAGCTCCTAGAATGTAACTTGGCACATAGTAGACCTCAGTAGATACTGAGAACAGATGGGTGGCTGCCAGAGGCAGGGTCTGGGTGTAAGACAAATGGGTGAAGGGGGTTAAAAGGTGCAAAGTTCCAGTTATAAGATCAATAAGTTCTAAGGCTGTACATCTCAATACCCCTTTAAATTCTTACATCCCTCTATTTTTGGATTGCAATGTGCTTTAGCTGATGTGTAAATTGGCAGTACTTTCTTGGTCTCTACTTGTAAAGCAGCATGTGGGGATGTCATGAGGGCCACAGAGATAAGCTACCTGCCCTCACCATTGATGGAGGCAGGCAGCAGAGCCAGCAGTGAAAATGTAACTATCAGAGCTGCAGGCAGAGTACAGTCCCACTGTGGCCAGCCAAGAAATGAAGAATGAAATGTGTGAAAGATTTCCATTGATGAAAAAGGAAAGTAAAGGCATTCCATGCCACTAAAAACATAAAGAAATGGTAGTGATTAGACATATATACAATTTATGAAGTGATCTCCCTGACTAGTCTAGTACCCACCTGGCACTATACATGCTATTGACTATATTCCCTATGCTTTACTTTACATCCACATAACTATTTTGTAACTATCGATTTGTATTTCTTAATGCCTTCACCATTTCACCCTGCCCCCAACCCCCCTCCCATCTATCACCCTGATAATCTAGTACCCATCTGACACCATACATAGTTATCACAATATTACTGACTATATTCCTTATGCTGTAACCTACATCCCATGACTGCTGTGGATAATGGATAATGACACCCCCCCCACCAAAAAAAAAAAGAGAAACGATAGTGAATGGGATAAATGGTTTAGCAGGATAAAACAAGTGAAACGGAAAGTTTGAAAAGAGACAAATGAATAAAAGAAAATGCATATAAATATGAATTTGTTACTAACAGAAACTAAGCAGCAAAATAACAAGTGATCAGTGCTGTGGATGCATTTGTCTTACAAAATTGAAGCGTGGCAAAGAAGAAAGATGTATTGATCTGAATACATTCTGTGTTTAGAAATATGTAAGCTGAGCTATATCCATTTCTATTAGATACCAGACGGAAGGAAGGAGAGTCTAGAGTTTGACCTTTTAAATATTAAATACATATAAAGAACTGGGAGGCATTTCAAAAGTAACCAAACCTTATCAAGCTAAAATTAGAGTTCTTTAGAAGAAAACATTACTTGAATAAGTCATAACTAAAAAATCATGGCACTACCCAAAAATGTATAGAAAGGTAATAATGTATAATTCTTTTTAATGTCACTTAGGGCCAAAAATAAAATCCATTACTTTAAGGAGTTAAATTATTTAGGAAAAGACAGTAGCCAGATGACAACCCCACCCCCCATTCCTAGTAAAATATATCTAATCCCACCTCCCAAAAAATAAATGTCATTGGTATAAGAACTATTTCCTCCAAATAAATTAAAGCATTTATTTTTATTTGCCTATATAAACTATACTAGAGGGTATTCAAATCACTGATTAGAGCAATTCCCTCTTTAAAAAAGAATTTCAGCTAATAAATATAGAAGGAATAAAAGAAAAGAACATTAGAAAATCACTATTTTGCAACGATGGGAAACTTTTACAATGCAGGGACCTCACTGTCACCACTTGAATCTACTGATCAATTGTAACATCACTAAAGTGGCAGGTCCAAGCATATGTGCCTCCTGCTCTGATGTAGGGTAAAGCAGACAACACGCCCTATCAAATATTCTTAGGAAACCAACAAAAATTCAAGCTAAATTTAAACAACTATTTAAATATAAGTACAATGAACTAGAAATACAAGGGAAGAAAAATTTGAAAACTTTCACAACAGAAAGTCTTTTAAAGTACACACCATCGCCTGACGAACGGCTATTATTTTAACTGGGCTGACTTATGGGACTTGTGGAGCGATGTGGTGGCAGAAGCTGCTGCCAACGGAAGTTGTGGTAAGTTGGCGACATTCCTCAAATGTTATATCAAGGAATTTGGCCTTTATCCTCAGGCTTGCATTTCCCAAAATGTATTCCGGAATACTGATGTATGCTTTTCGCTTTTAAAAGGGTGAGATCGGCGTTCCTTTGGAAGTTTACAAAACACTCTATTGTCTCTGCCTTTCAATCGGCTGGATATTAATAATGTTCATCAGCACACTGCCATAGAAATATCTATCAGAATGTCACACAGCATGTTCCAACTTCCAGAAGAGCTTTGTTTTGGAGAGCATCGTTGTTATCATCCTGTACGAAGCACATCTAGAAAACACCACTAGAGGAGGACTCACTGAAGAATCTCGAAAAGTGCGGTATCTTGCTATGACCGGTCTTTTGGGAAGATAATTCTAGTGACAGTGAATTGGTGAGACAAGCCAGGAAAGCAATTGGAATGCATGGTCCAGGGGTGAGATGACAAAGACATAAATGGACCAGGGCACTGACATGGAATAGAAATGGAAACCAAAAGGCGTAGAGGATATTGATAGAAACTTACCGCATAGATTTTAGAGGAAGCACAACAGAATCACCAGACAACGGTGCTGACATGTCTAACTCAGGTTAAGTGGGACACTGCCAATGCCATTGTGTAGTTAGGACACAAGGAAAAGTAAGTGAGGTGGTAGCAGAATACACTTGATGTAGATGCACCAAGGTCTCTGATCAAAGAATCTATTTATTTAAAATATAATATTTTTCTGCGTAAAATTTACACTTTCTCATGGGCAGAACACTGAGCAAATATGAAGAGATAAATCCTACCTGTGGGTTTACTTAATTTACTGAAGTCATTCCCTGGATCTACTTACCCACAGGGCCTGTACGTGAATACAATGTAACTCTCTTCATCACTTCTTTCAATGAAAGTCACACATGTGTGTTTTTCCCAGTGCCGCATGGCCTGCTTGAACATGGCTCGCTGGCTGCCTGGAAAAGTGGCATGACATTAATGAAAGTGTCTGCGCCAGTGAGGGGTACTGCGTGCTGGCCCCTCCTTCATGGCTCTGGCTGGGCAGTTCAGATGCCACCTCCGTTATCGACCAAAGAATGCCAGCCTAGAGCACCACACACGAGTCACTGTTAAGAATGGACGCTCACTTTATAATCAGAAGGTCCAAGCTTACTATCTGTACAAATATGTGTGTACAAGGCTCTATCAACGGTACATACATTCTTTCTGTCCGTGGAAGAGAAATCCACCTCCACATTTAATAAGCACATTTGAAACTCAGTTTAAAAGCCAGAATGGTACTTGAGGCTCGTAGAACTTAAGACTAAAGATAGTTTTCAATCACAGGGCATATTACAGTAACAAAGGAGGTGAGGAGAGTATTTCTCACATTTGATTTAATACTATTTTATAAATTAATATTCTATGAAAACGTTCACTTAATCTGTGTGATAATTATTATTGTTTTTTTTTTATCACAATAGGCTGAGAATATCTTACCAGTGAAGTTGCCTCCTATAACATATGGAATAACGCCTCCAGGCCATATTCTGTCTGTTCTTGATGTAGCAGCTCTAGGAACTCGGTTTTTCTCATTTTGCCCTGAGAATTTGAGAGGTACTTTTTCCTTAGCTGTGTTGTTTTGCTCCAAGCCTGCAGTGACATTTAAAAGATTCTGTGAAACAGAAGTCCTTGGTCAGGGAATCGTTTACCTCTTAAAGGACAAACGTTAAAATGCCTAATTTACATATTTGTATAAGTATGCCTGAAGTCAAAATGCATGAAAGAAAAGCTTGATGCATATTACACACTTGAAGATCGCATTCAAATATTTAAGTATTTCATGTCAAAATACTATTTGTTAATGCTTTACGAGCAAATTTTCATGAATTTTCATACAACAGCCTGTAGCAGAGAGAAATCAGGAAGACTTCGTAGGCCACAGAAAAATTCCTTTATGTAAGTATTCCACTTTACTAGATCACTAAGAATTTCACCACCAGAATAAAAGAGGCATTCTTTTAAAGTCCTGTAGTATCCAAAACTCTTCCTACTCCTGTTAAATCCCTAATCCTGTATTCACAATTGATATTCTGTAGTGCAGATTAAAACTATGGATATTACGTTATAGGGATAGTAAATGAAATAACACTAAAACAGATAAGGTCTCAGCCTGCTGGGACAATGGGCTACCTCCACTCCAACTTCCTGTTTTCATACCCAGGTGTGCAGCATAATCAGTACACAATGGGAACAGGTTAACAAAAAATACAGTCTATTCTGGAGAGCTTTCCAATCTGTAGTTTTAACTTCTTTTGGTGACCTTTCATAAATGTTTATTATTGTTTTACTTTTCTTAAATCTGTATAATTATTTTTTTCTTATGCATCTATCACTGCTGACATAAATAGCCCACCACTAATACACACTTCAGACAGAACAAATATTTGCCCACTTTGCCCATGTCCCTAACATGTCTTTTTAATATCCTGAAAAAAGCATCTTTGCTTAGGAAAATCAATACTTGAAAGTAAGTACTTTCAAATATTGAATAGTAATCCATCAATTTAAGGGATGTTAGGATATAAACTTTGAATACAAGGAGTATACTTAAAAAACAGACAACTAAAATCTACCAATAGAGGTTAATAACTTCAATACTATAAATATTAACTAATTATGAATCCAGAAGGCAGTTTTTCTGTATATATTTTTGGAAAGGTCAAAAAAAAAATGTTCAACTCTTTTTTCATCTAATATATAAGCCTGTCAGTTTACTTTTATTTCAAAATAGCCATAATATTTTTCATTTGATTAAAATTGATGTAGTTCCATGCTTGATAAAAACCCCTTAGTGTGATACCCAATTTACTGGAAATAAATATCAGCAATAAAGTAAATACCTAATACATTTTTAAGAAGGAGAAGCTAAAAATAAGTTAATGAAACATTTCAATTGTCCCAAATTAAGTTCTAAAAAACTTACATCAAATATCAACTGACAACAATAAAAAAGGACTCTTTCTTAGCATATATCCTTCACATACTTTGCATCATAATGGCAAACTAAACTGCTATGAGTATAATATTTACTGTACATCAAGTCAAGCGTCTGCAACTTTAAACATTGATATACCAGAGCCAATTCTTCTTATCCTGTCTATGAGCTGGTAGAGGGCCCCTCGTTTTTTTGACATACCATGGTCTCCATATCCACCTTAAAGAATAAAAGAAAACAGTTAAGTTAAACTGACTGTATTTTAAAGTTCTTGTAAATAAACGATAGTGATAGTCAACATTGATGTCTCTTTGGACATTTCTTTTTTTATTTGATCTTAGAGAGTTAGAGTCATGAATATCCACAAATCTTAGAAGAGGATAAAAATTCTACAATAACAAACTGTGGTAACTAAAACTAAAGCAGTAAGGGACATCCAGAGAATAATCTAAGTGACTTTGTTTGGACATCATGGAAACTGAGTCATCTACTGATAATTTGAAACATTTTTCTTCGCTGTGACCATGACATCATATGGTGTTATGCAGGATGACAGCAAGTTGTTCTGCCCTATTTATTGAATTCCAGCTATTTCCCCAATGCAAACTGAATATTTTCAGATGCCAAATCAGCAAATGGAAATGAAAACATAAGAAGAGCAAATGTAGAGTCAAGTTTTACTCCAAAGCTTTGATCAATTTTGAAATATTGCTAAAAGCAGAGCATATTTTATAATATAGTCAAATAATTTTTGAAAATTAGCGTCTGTAATTTTCAAAAATCAATAATATCATAATTAGGAAAAAGTCACAAGGTAAGAATCCAAAAGGATGTTCAGCTGCAAAATATACTCTGATATGCTATGAAATTTGCAAAACTTACAAAAATAGATGTAAAGAATTTGTAACTCAAAAGGTAGAGGAGAGGTTCAGGATAAGGAAATATGTCCTCTCCCAATTTTAACAGCAAAGACTGGAAAAGGTAGATTCCTGTCACAAGACAAAAATCAAGTCCTCTGTTTCTCATTCCAGGACTTTAATAATTAAATGCTCTACCAATTTTATCACCTATTTCCCCTTCTTCTTGATTTTTAATAGACAAATAACAAAGAGATATCATTGAGCAAAAAACAACCAATATGACCACCAATGATATCAGAACAAGTGCAAATGAATTTGTATAACTATGAGTATGGTTCATGAATCTCTTTGGGCTAAGGCAATGAAAGAAAGCCAGAAATCCATGAAAGCAGCAATGTCCAGTGTTCTTGGACTTACTATTTCCTTCCAATATCTGTTTTCCCCTTTGAAATTAATACTGAAATTTAATTACCTAGACTGAAGCTAATGAAAACCAAACCAAGAAGTATTACCATATAAGCCCATAAAGGAAAAATCAAATAAGTCCTTATAAGGTAAATAAGTTAGAGGGCTTATTCACTGACTGATAATCTGTTTAATTATCTACATTACACGGTCACATTTTTGCCTTGACCCTTGAGAAAAATATTTGAAATATTTTTCATTGAACATTTTAGAAAGATGAGGTAATAGTTAAATGTATTCATTCCTAGGCAGTTACAAGAAACATTTTTAAAGAGTGGCATCAATGTATTTGAAATGACCATTAAATAACAATTACATTTCATATTCCATAGGACTGAAACACATATAGATTCAGGAGGAGGCTAATTGTGAGGAAAAAAAAGAAATGTCTTAGTTAGTATTAAGGTTATTAAGAGGATAAGAGTAATTATAGACTTGAAAAAAAAAACAATGTTTCAAGGCTATCAAAGTGAATAATGTTTTTGCATTTAGGAATTTTGAATAAGTTTTATAGCAATTGAAACATTATTCTGTGTAGGTACTTCATTAAAATAGAAAAAAGAAAATGAATAAAATAGGTAGTTATTTCTCACATATTCTAAAAAAAGTGAAAATATACAAACTAATTAAATATTTATGGGAAAGAGTATATATTTTGAAATAAGGAAGTAAGACATATTATCATTTCAGCACAAACTAACATGAAAGGGAAAAGATAGAGTAAGAAAAAATAAAACATAGGCTACTTTTTGTTTGAAATGCAACTGAATAGTGCAAATTACTTACAACCATGCATACCTTTCACATATAAATTTAGAATATATATTTTTTATGATTGACTGTATAGTGTTTTATGTTATATCTAAAATAATGGTGTTTTCCTCCAAAAACAAATTCCTAGCTATTTCAGAGCTTAACTATAAATGAAATGACAAAATTAAAGAGCATTTTTTTTAAAATCACAGAGTATGAATGCCCCCAATACAGAGGGAGTACAATGGATTAAAGAAATGACCTGAATAAAGCTAATGATTTTTTTTTAATGAAAATGTAACACAATAAATCGAGGATTTTGCTGAGCTGTATCACTGCTTTCTTGTTCTGAATCCATGATCTCTGTGGCCATGTTAAGTATGAGATAGCAACTGGAGAGTCAATAAGCATATCCTACTGGAATTGTACTATCTGTGATTATACTGCAGTGCAGTTTCCCTCCTATATTTGGTGTATGTTTCAGAAAAGGCTATGAATAACAAAGGCTAGAGCATACTATTTTTAAAGTATTGTGTGCTACTATTTTACATAAATTCCTTAAGTTTTATTATATAAATTTGTATATGTAGTAGTGGTATTTTGATTATATAGGATAATGTCCTTAAGATTTGTATGCCAGACTACTTAATTTTGAAATGCTATGTTGTCAGCAATTAATTACAAAATGTTTTCTTCACATTATGCATGTATGCATGCACACACATATACACGCACAGAGCAAATATGGTAAATTTAACAATCGTTGATGGGTGGGAGTCCTATAGTGTTGGTGCTTCTTGCACTGTGACTATCCTATCAACCTTTCCATATGTTTGAAATGTGTCATAATAAAGAGTTGCAAAAAAATTAATTGGGCAAAGACAGACATTAATTCATAGTAAAAAGTCTTAAGTCTAATTTTTGACTGCTAGGATATTACCATAGTATAGAAGAAAATAAAAACAGTATTGGGCATGAAGGGAGATTCAATGAGCTCAAAAAGCATGACAGTGATACATTTTTTTAGTTATAACTACAGAAAGAATTGTTAATGTTGCAATTTTCTCCAAAATAAAATACAGAATAAAAATTGTATCAACAAAATATAAAGAATTTTTTTTTATTTTAAAAAATATTTTTAAATGAGAACCCAAATAACCTTTTAAACATTACAAGTTTCATACAGGCATAATTCAAACACATCAAGCAACTAAAACTTAAATTGTCTTCTGGGTTTTCATAAAAATTATATTTTATTATCTATTGCATTTTTCTAAACAAGTTTGTGTATTATTTACTCTATGAATAATTTATATTTTGCAACTCCATATTTGCAACTGCAAATGGGAGGCAATATAATGCTCAAGCGTATGAACTTTGGCCTTCCTCAGAACTGAATTCTGGTCCTAGCTCAGAAACCTTGTGCACATGACAATAAGCAAACTATATAACATTCTAAACCTCGATCTCCTCACTTGTAAATCACAATTATCTTAGTAGCTACCTTCATGAGGTTATTATGAGGATTCAAAGAGTTAATATCTGTGAAGCACTCCACTTAAAGCAGGCCTGGCATATAGCAAACACTACAACACTTTTGTTAAATAATTAATTAAATAAAAACTATAAACAAATTCTACATTTCTAAATAGGCTCACTTGTGTCTAGTAAATCAAAGCTGAACAGAGAGAAACATTGAAAATAATCCAGAGTATTTACAGCATTTCAGCAGTACATTTTCTTCAAAATGAATGTAAACTAAATCAAATAATCAACTGTACCTGTGGTATGTCCAAGTTTTCCAAAGGGGTTCTGTGTAAGGTCAATTGTCCTATCAATGTGAAAGATATTTAAGTCTTCATCATCTAAGGCAATATCACCCCAAAACACAGCTAAAAAAGAAAAGTTCAATGAAAATGTAAAATATTTAAAAGCAAAAACAATGCAAACACAGCTAAATAGAAAAATACTGCTAAAATATGAAAATATGATGCACAAGTGGACAGATATTTCATAAGATAATTGTAACTGAATATATTGCACCCGTTAACACTTTAATATAAGGAACCTCTAAAAGGGCATGCATCACCCACATTTTTTTACTTTGATGTTTGTGAGGAGGGCGCTAAAGCCATTTATTTCCTTGAAGGAAATGGTCACTGATTTGGGGGGATCCTAAGAAAAGAGGAATCAGTAACCATGAGCTAATCTGCTAACAAAATATGATAAGAATGTGTGCATTTATAATGAATGCTTGTGACCAGCGACAGGTCTTCACTGACAGGTATTATAGGAGAGGTAGTCGCAACTAAAACATGTGCTGTGATAACTTCGTGAAGGAAAGTACAATTAAGGCAAAAGAGTATTGCGTTGTTATAGCAACTTATCATATTTTTCTACATTTATAATGACTCACTCTAAAATGATATTGCTTCTGAGTCACTATAAAATGCATATATAACTATGAAAGTAATATTTAAGTCAACATGTATTTGGGCAATGACTAAGTACCAGGCTTTTGATTTTTAAAGACAAATAAGACATTGTTCACATTTTCAGGAGCTTCAAAGTCATTATCCTATAACCTGGAAACTCTCTGACTTTGTCTTTTATACCAAGTCTTTTATAGTACTTATTAAAGCAAGAATTTAAACCACTGTCAAAAACTGGGAGAGAGCATTTACTCATATAATCATTATTTGAATTTCTCTTTTAAGGTTGGAAATATACAATATCATAACAAAAACATGGCTTCTTTGTTTATTTGAGTCCAAAACTAGACTATTCCATCCCTTAGTACTATCAGATGTCAAAATATAATGACTTTAGAAAACAGCAAACTTAAAAGAAAGAATAAATTAATCATGAGATAGTACACCATTGATAAATGGCTTGGAATTCTGGGATATTTGTTTCTTGATACAGGTTTACAAATTTTCTTTTTTAAAATTTTCATCAGATTATTCCTCTGCAAAACCAAAAGGAAGAGGAGGGAAATACATTAAAAATTTAGGTATTGACAAAATCCATGCTTTTCAAATCACAGTCCTCTACCAGAATCAAACCTTAATATTTATTATTTTTAGCTATAAAAAACTAGCTAATAAAATTAGTTAATCTATGAAATTTAAACTTCAATCCCAAAAGCAATAGAATGCTTTAGGCTTTGATCAAAGCTTTATCATATAAAATTGTTTACCCAGTTTATTTCCCACATAAAAAACTGACATGAGATAAAAGTGGTTAGGTTTATGTGTAAATCCAGAAAGGAAGAAAATGAAAATTAGTTCAATGTAGGTTATCAGTTCAACATACAGGAAAATCTTCATTAGAATTAGAATTCTCTCATTAAACCCTCTCTTCTGCCCTACTGTCAATGGAGTGTCAGTCTGTAGAAGTAAAAAGACGCTTCCTATCTTTCACTAGCATAAAGGCGAAGTAATGAAAAGTTTGTAAAACCGTTTATGGCACTAAGTGGTTGGTCTTGATGCCTAAAATTGAATCCAGATTCTAATCAGCTTCACACACATGCAACGGAAACCGCTGATGCTCCACTGCCCCAAGAAATAGATGGACTGCCTAAATAAAATATTGTGCAAATGCAATTACATAAAAGGCTTGTTAGTTTTCATAAAAATAAATTTGGCTCTACATTTTTTTTCAAGATTTTATGCTACTTGAAGGTACATCCAAGTTTGCTAATTTTTTAAATCTTCCATCATGTGTATTCACCAAGCAAAGAGTTACGGGCCCTGACGGGCAGTAACTCTCAGCCTGGGTCTTCCTTTCCACAGGCAATGAGAGACACTAAAACAGTGCTTCTCTAACATTAATTGGCACAGGAATCACAGTGGATCTGGTTAAAATGCAGGCTCTAATTTAGCAGGTCTGGAGAGAGGCCTCAAATCCTACATTTTTAACAAGCTCCCATTACTACAAATAATCATCATTGTTATCATCTTTAGTAGTAGTGTTTTTTGTTTTTGTTTTTGTTTTGTTTTGTTTTGTTTTCTGCAAGAACAAACTTTTACTCGTCTCTGAATCAGCTGGTTGACTTGAAAGCTGAAACACTCCACCAAACAAAACAGTTTGTCAGTCCTACATTTATACAATAAAAGTAGTATGAGTAAAATAAAACCCAAATGTGTTTTAGATTTTTATTTCCTTGTAATGACTTTTCACATGCAATAGAATGCATGTCTTGATGGATTATATCAAATACACTTCAGCAGCCAAGGATCGAATACTTCACAGAAGCAAAAAACATTACTTCTGAGGAGAAGAGGGCCAAGAGGCCAAATGACTCTTAAAAGGAGTCAGAACTGTTCTGGAGTACCTAAGCCCATTTTTTATTTGTTGGTATTTTTTCTGAACTAATAGTTTCAGAATAGCTTGGTGGTTCTGAATATGCCATGAATTGTTTCAAGAGAAAACCAAGTATTTCTTTGAGAACAAGCAGTAGTGAGTGACTAAGCCAATTCATTTATGTGCAGGCTTGGTAAACTCTAAGTCATATATCTTTAATTCTTGATATCATCAATAGAAAAAAATAGATATCTTAGAATTTTCAACTTATCACATAGTTTAAAATGCACCATTTCTTTCTTCATATTGCACACATGTGTAGGAGTTTTAATTCATCCTCTATTAAAATCTAAGTGTCTTATATTTGCATGCCAAAATATTTACATGTATTGGCATAGCAAGTTGGATTACAACAATTTATGTTAATATGGATTTAGAATTTGCATTATAGTCTAACATATATTTGTTATTTAGACTCAGATATTTGTAATTACCAAGTCCATTTAGGAGTTTTCTGTTTTTCTTTCTATATGGTATTTTCTATTTGGCATAAAAAAAAATAGAAACACTTTTAAAACTATGAATTATCACTCATTAGCCCCATTTAATACAGGGATTTGAAGTTAATGATAGCAGAGCTGAAAGCAATGTAGGACACTGGTTATAGATGACAACTAGGGAAACGCTCAAATGCAATTAGAATATTTACTATCTGGAATCCTTCTTGGATTCCTATGGTCAAAAATGGGGTGGGAACTAACCAATAGGCCAAAATGAAATGTCAAGAAGAAGGATTTCTAAACTACATAGAAAACCACAGGTTTTATTTTTCTCCTGAAGGCTATTTGCAGTCATTGTACTACAAAAAAAAAAAAATTTTTTAATCGGAGACCAAGAAAGACAGAGTTCTTTTACACTAGTAGACAGGATAAACACATCTTATAAAAGAGTATATGGTGAGGATAAGCAGTCCAAGATTGTGATTCTCTACACCCTAACTTTAAATCATGTCTGTTCCACACACTCCCCAATTCCCCAATGACCTTTAGCCCTTCAGAGCTGAAGCTGGGGTCCAAGGCCCAGCTTTAAGGAGGCTTCAAGTCTGTGATTTCCTAAAATGTATGCAAAAAATATGTATGAGTTTATAAACACAGTCACCACATGTTTTGCTGGGGAGAGGTCCACAGTAAATTGTCAAAAGGGATCACACAAAATAAAGAAGTACTTTTGCCGAAAGCAAAGCCTTTTCATCCATTTGGAAGAAAATAACTTGCAAACTGAATACCCTATACCCTCAAGAAGATGAATATATTTACTTGAATTAATGCTAAGAGATCTGATAGCTGATTACCACTTGGAAGCACCGTGTAATAGAGAAGATTGTAGCACCTCCTCAGTTATTACCTACAGAAAGCCCGTCTCCCCAACTAACCCTTAGGTGTCTCATCTGCCTCCATGTCCTGCCTGGGCTTCTGTCAGTCATAGGCCAACATACAAGATTTCTTAGTTTTCAATTGTCTGACTCCTCAATCTAATTTTAAAAATACTGACCACAGAAAGCACGTGTTGCTCATCATTAAACTCTCACTGCCAGGGTGCCTGACACAAAGTAGGTCCTCAATATTTGTTTTGAGTCACACACACACACACACACAAAATGCAAATAAGAAAACACCATAAAATGGGATATAAATTGCCTATCACAACAACGAGGTGAGGCTAGGCATGCTACGTACTTCACCAATTTGCTGTGAAGACCCAAAATACTAGCTATGTGACCATTCCAAAAAAAGAGTATTTCAAATCCTTTCAATCTAGAGAGGATTACTGCTGTATACATTTTTATGAAAATAATTAAAAAACAGCTGCCTTTCTTTGCCATTTCAATAGCATATATTATTAAGTGTAGTTATGGGAAATGTGTCCTCTTTTTTCTAAACCCCACATTGATATGCTCAGGAAATACATAACTAAACTAAGAGATCAGTTATCTTGAAATTTATGGGATTGGGAGCGATAGCTCAAAGATTCAACAATAGCCAAGAGCACTTGCTTATTACACTTTTTCCATATACAGTTTTAACTTTCTGCTTTTATTGATATTGGATTTAGGGAGGAAGGATGATGTCATGTGAAGGCCTAACAAGGCTGTTTTCGCTGCTCTAACCCCCAATAAAGGCCTAGTGAAAATTTCTTCAGACAAGGGCAACAGTGAGAGCTCAAAAGTCAGCTATTTTTACATGATTGACAAGCTCTAAGCAAATTCCCAAGGAAAAGGAAGATTTGGCAAAAGTTCCATTATATGCATTTTTGAAGACAATGTTACACCACTTAAAAGAGAGAATAATTTTTTGGTGGCATTTCATATGCACAGAATAAATTATCTCCCAAATGACGCATGCAAGAGTTAAGTTCCAAGTTTGAGAAACAATTATCTAAAATTTTTAAATCTCTTGGATATCATACAAAAATAAATAAATATATAATTTTATTTAGACTCTCAGAAATACTCTTCCAAAAAATAAGGATAAGAATGTTTTTCATGGAGTACATTTCTTTCTTAAATTTCTAATAATAAAAAAGGAAG